CCGACGAATGAAGATCGGGTTTTAGCCAAGTTTCAGTGAAGGCTAAACAGAAAAATTCGGTGCGCACTGAATTTAGGAAGGTAAGACAAATTTTTGAATTAAGGCCACTAACATTTTGATAAATGAGAGATAATGGGCCTGAAGAAACATTTAGTTTTTTGAAGGCGACAAGACCATTGCTTTGGTATTACGGAGACGATCTCCAGGGATAAATTCCTTAATTAAGGATCTTACTGGCCACAGTGGTTTGTTTAACAACATATCACTGTTTTCAGTCGGAACTAGTAGTTTAAAAGAAGAGATTGCCCTAGATTGAGAAGGAGCCATTTTGAAAATGCTAACGCGCTTTAAGTTGACTGATGGGACTTTCGCCGCCAGATAACCTTTTATGTTATCCACCGATGTTTCAGGTGCCAGTCTTGACACAAATGTTGCTTTTCTAGGAGGAACTGCCGTCAAGCACATGTCATTATTTGGAACAGGAGGGGGGTTCACGGTAGGAGAGTTTCGAGTTGGGGAAAATATAGATGGGGTTATCGCCTTTGTACCGGCAGCTTGTGAGTCTTGCCCAGTCTGGTGACCTGCATTCACACGCGAACAGCCAGGAGGAGAGGATGATTTATTTTTCTCTTCATTACTTTTAGGCGATGGCGCTTGATTAGAGTGAGTAGCGGCTCTGGGCGGAGATATCCTTGCCACATCAGCGTAGCTTAAAACGGAAGGATTTGCCGGCTTGTTTGTAACTATTTTGTTACCAACCGACTCAACAATATCGGAAACATTAACGTTCATTTTAGAGTTAGAGGGAGCGGTAACTTATACCAACGAATCAGATTTAGAGGAACTCAGAGGTGACGTCCCACAAGCCACGCTACGAGTAGTTATTTTTCTGGCTTGGGTAGAAAGTGGGTGCTCAATAAAACGACACTCATCAAACCTAAACTTAATTAGCTCAAACTTCTCCCACAGAGAGCCGAGATTTCTACTCAATGCCGAGAAACCATTTCGCGTCCTCGAGAAAAGTTTGTAAAAATCAATGTCCCGCTGCCTACAGTCCGGACATGACCATCTTAAGCCTTTAGAAGGGTCAGCGACTGCGTCAGCAGCACGGCCGAGAATACCGGCACACTTGCCATGAACAAAAGCGCTCGCAGAGCCAACAAGGATCGAATCTGTCCGATTCCGGGCTTGTTTTTGCGCGACATGGTGTATATAAGCACTCCTTGTCAAGTCAACAAAAAGAAAGAAGTCAATTATTAGGACAAAAAAGAACAAATTCAAAAGAATCCACAACACTAAATTTATCTACAAATTTAAGAAATTTAGGAAAACTTCTCCGTTACGTTGTCACTGTAACAAGAAAGCAAAAGGACAAGAAAAAGCAAAACCAAACTGGAATCACGAAAAAAAGAGAGAATAAATCTCAGAAAAATGATCTCTTAAATTACACGTAAAATCTACACTACTGAAACAACGGTAAATAAGCCAAGAGAAAAGCTATTAAGACCAAAGGAAGAAAATAAAAAAGAAAACAACTCAAAAGAAAAAACCAGAAAAGACTCAAAGGAGATTTACTATTGCGAGCACAAGTGCTAATCGAAAGAACCAAAATGAAAATCATAAAAATTTAATATAATTAATGTAATTCTTTCACTTTTACACCTTTAATACTTTTATATAATTACAAATATCTAGCTTTAAACGCGTATAAAACAATAAGAAAAATTTAAGCAATAGAACAATCAAAAGCGTACGATCTCGCGCGGGTCAATTGCCAGACTGAAGAAATTTTTGCGCAGGATTTACGATTAAGTCTAATAGTCGTTTTATGTAGGACAATTTTGTATAATAGTCTATAAGAATCGTGGTGAGAGTTCTCTAAATTATCGTATTGCCAAGTTAGTTTTAACTAATCGAACAGTTGTGATTCATAACAAAAACAATAATATTAATGGGGCGAACACAACATAACAATTGCAATGAGCTGTAAATCGTAGTAGACGCCACAATATTTTTAAGCGCTACGAATGACAAGTCCAAAAAAGTAGTTTTAGCTTTATGCATCAGGTTATGAAATTTGATTAAATTGACACTAAACAGCTTACGCTTAGTAATTATGCTCGATCACGAAGCCATGATACCAAGAGGCTTCTTATCGAATGTTGTAATTTAGGTATGATATCGGCAATGCATGATCACTGAGAAGAGTTGATTTTATAACATGCGTTATATTGAGTCACATATAGATATTTGATTGTGAACACTGCTTAAAAGGCAATTTCTTACCTTTTGGCATTAAGTTGAGCTAAGTAGTGGAACTTAATGGATTGTCCATTAAGTTGAGCTAAGTAGTGGAACTTAATGGATTGTCGAGCTAAGTTCACTATTAGCAATCGTGAATAGGTTCGCTTCGAATGTGTATGCAATATTTTAGATGATTCACTTGTATATGAGGTACAGCTAATAGATAGCACATATAGAATTGAGCCAAACTGGTTCCCTTGAGAAACCCCTGATTTAACCACAAATTCATTTAAATAGAAGATGTTAAAGAACAATGCCCTCTTCAACAAAATTTATTAAAGAGGTATGAGCTGATCCATTTCACTAGGATTGAGTGGAAGCTTAAAGATTGCAGTTTAAAAATCAGGAAATTATAGTCTCTTAGGTCGAAAGCCTTATTAAAGTCAGCGATGGCCTAAGAGTTGAACGATTTTGTGGCATAAGTAATGCGTGAAATAATAATTTATGAACGCCCAATTTTGCTATACCTTCTATTTCCCTTTGGCATGAGGAAGCTACTTTTCCAACAAAATGGAAATAGTCCCACTTTTAGAGAAAGGTTAAAGATCGATGTTATTGCGTTACAGAATTTATCTACGCATGCCTTATAAGTAAAAGGTGGAATGCCGTTCGTACTTGGGATGCAACTATGTTTCACTTCTCTTAAGCTATGCGGAACTTCGTCTTCTGAAATGACGATCTTCAGAATCATGATAATACTTTTAATTTTATACGCATAAATTACGTTAGAGTGATTGTCTTCAACACTACAGTTACATTGAAAAAATTCTGCAAACAGATTCAAAATTTCTTGATCCCCAGGCGTGTCATATCCATCGTATAATTTGAACGCGGAAAACAAGAAGTTTTCTTTTTTGAATTAACGAATTTATAAAAATATTTTGGTTTTGGTCTAAATGAGTGAAAAGATTGTATTATGCTGCTAAACTACATTGCAATACATTTGTTCTAATATTTTGTCAATGAGTATTTATAAATTTATATGAAGTAATTTTTAGACTCTGAGATTAAGGTTTTTTCCCAAGTTAAAAAAAAGAAAAGCATCAGAACAAAGCTACAACTTGAATCAAGAGCATAAACTTTAAAAGACAAGAAAAATAGAATTGGCGGCCTTATTGGAAGTCAATAAAATCGAAGAGATAAATGTTTTGTGAAAAAATAAGTAACGCAATGATGACCAATATTTATTTGTGTTAACCAAGGAAAATAAAAAGATGCAATTGAGTGCGTATGTGAAAATTCCCAAAAATATTTCCTAGAAAAAAAACTTTCTTTTAAAAAAATATTTTTATGGTCTTTTAACTTACTGTCGAAAACATAAGATAACAATAATTTGATAAAAAATTGGTTACTAAAGATTGCTTTGAAGTTCAAATATAATAAAATATACGAAACAAAACAGTGAAGAAAGTGTAGTTAGGAATGTATTAACTGAAAGTTTGCCAACTAGCTGAAAATATCATAAAAATACAGGAGGAGTCTTGCGAAAACTACCGCTAAAAAAGTGTGTTAATACTTTTTCCGGAAACGGACATCGAGGATTAATTCAAAACAGATGTAGAAAGAAGCGCAACTAAGAAAGCGCGTTTAACTTTGACGGAAACCAAAATTTAAAAGCAATCAAAAACTAGCTAGAGGAAGATGAATAGGCACGTCAAAAAGAACAGAGAACACAACTAATATTGTCACGTTCTTATATGAAAGGGCTGGATTTTTATTTGTTTATATGGCTGATGCACGTATATCCGCGAAACTGAAAACGTACATTTAAAACATTTTAATTTGGTGTTTTACACACTAAGTGAGTACGGTCTAAAATATATGCGCTTTCGTTGTCGCATGTATAAACAATCTTGATCAGAAAAATGAATAGGTCGTCCGAAAAAAAAGTGTCGGGAATTAAAAATTTTGAACATCTAGAAACAATAAAACAATTAGAAAAATTTGTTAATTATTACTATATATATTTTCCGAGATTGGCTGAATTTACAACTGCTATTCATCAGGTAATCAACAAGGCAAGTAAAATTAAGAACGAAAATGTCGTATGGTCGGGAGAGGAATCCAACGCATTTGACCAAATTAAGAATTGTTTTGATTAGTCCTTGCGACCACAAAGCAAAGCTCATTAGCTTAGAAGGTATCACATACTGGCATTGGGGAAGTTTTTTAACCATCTTACTGAACTGGATGTCGTGACCACAAGGCCATTAAGACTCCATGCAATTTTCGGCAAATTAAAGTCAACTGGTAATATGATTACATCAGTTGGATGCATCAACAAGAGCGTTGGCAACAGTTATATGTAAACTTCATTATTCGAATTGGGAGGAATACAGAAGCGGGATAAAATTAAGGTTTTATTATCTACTGTTATCAATACGGCTAAAAGTTTAATGTCTAGAGGACAACTCATATAAACTGTCGCTGCTCTCAACTTGTACTAGAAAATGAACGCCCTGGAGGTTACACAGAATTTATATAACTTTACTCACTCAATAAATATTAATAAAATATTAGGAGACACATACTCTGCTCATTTACATTACGTATTACATCATTTACGAACTTACTTTAGTTTAACTTTGTATTCCTTATTATATCCATACCAAATACACCTATAATAAGTATAGTTTCGAGGTTATAAATAGTACTTTAACATTTTTACCCTTATCCTTCAAATTTTTCACTTTTAGGAGTTTGTACCGAGTTTACATGGTGTTGGATTGTGCATTCTTAATTTAATGGACGATATGCACGAATACATGCGCGGTTTATTTTTCTTAATGTAAGTCTAAGAAAGAAACAGGTAAGAAAATTAATGTTGAACTTGATGAGAACTATGAAACCTCTTCTCATTGGTATGGGAAAATTTCTCAATTTTTTCGTAAATTTACGGCATACCTGCACGCCAAGTTGTCTTTTAAGTAGTAATCTATTCCTGAAACTAATGTTCATAGCATTGAATTGCATTGAGGTTTTTAGCATTTTGTAGGTGGTTTTGATTTACTTTCAGTGGCCATTTACGAAGTTTGTATTCCTGGTATTCGACACGGGGCATCCGATGGGCAAACGTGTTGGATAAGTCGAATTAAAATCTGGCAATGTTTGAGAATATGTGTGTTCCAAACAAATATCGATTTGCCCTCTTAGTGTGAGCGAACAAAGCAGCGGGCATAAAATACTCCCATTCTCCAATCGCGGAATGGCTTGCTTGCTTTTAGTAGAAAAGTCAATTGCCCTATGAAAAAATACAAATCGAAGAACTTCTTGTATTAGAAGCCGAGAGGTAATTTGAGGCTACTTGATTATCAAATATTGAAATTTTGTGTTGCATTTATGTGTTTTTTCAAAATATAAAAATTTCATATTCTTAACTTATGTGTTATTGTAAAAAAACCATATTCCATAACTATATGTGCAAACATTAAATGTAACATTAATTTCTGCCGCTAAACTACAGTATTATGTAATTACTATCGTATTGCGTTGTCCTTTGACTTGTTGCAGTCTGCGTGGCACAGACCCAAAACATTTTTGAAAGTGGTTATATATTAAGTTGCCAGAGCTTCATTGTTTTGCTTAGCTGCGCTCAGCTGCATGTATGACGTATTAAAAATTATTGCTGCTCACAGAATGTAACCTGAAACATGCTGTAAGTCCGTCCGTAAGTCTCGTTGTCTATGTTGTTCGCTTTCGGTCTGTTCAGTCTTTGTCCGTTAGCCCGTATTCTCTGTCACTTACTCTCACGCACAAGTACACACACACATACCACGTCTCAACGGTACCAAACTCGCTTTTATCTTGCGCACGTACATGACAATTATTTGTTACTTAACCATACCCTACCTTACTTATATGTGTAGGTGCCCTTGTCCACACTAACCTGTACTGATGTTGCTCTTCTAGCTGATGAAACGTTATGGCTATTGTTTTCTTGTGGATGTTGTTTCTGGGCTTTTATCTGCCTATGAGATTGGTGTGCGTAATTTATAAATATATGCTTACACCGTTCGCTCTCACTTCTTCGCCCCGTTATTAAATACACCTAGCGCAGAAATATAACTGGAATTTATTTTCCAATATTCATTGAAAGATGAAGTTCTTGTACAGGATATACGCCCATATACGTATCTCCACTGGAGCTCGAGGTTTTCCTAGGGGCGTTCAGCGTACGTTCCCACATTCCGTGTGACATCGGGCATCGTGGAGTTAAGTCTTCACGACAGGAATCCACGTTAAGCACGTAGAGACATTTGTACTGCGGGGCAATTGATCGTCAATTTTCTTACCAGCAAGTCTCATTCTTTCAGCTTTCACGCATTCTTCATCCAAAAGTTCAAGTGCACGTGACGCTTTCAAATAACAGCAAAACTACAAACACAATTATTCTTTAAAATGTGTTGAAAACGCTTTACTTACTTCCATACGACGAGATAGGAAACATAAAACAAAAATTGAAAAGTTCAATTTTCAGCAATAGAAACTCGAATGATGATAACTGCGCATGTAATTGTTTTCTATGGAATTACAAGCTTGCCCTGATAATTTCAGGCAATGGGACCACAGGTGAAAGCGAAAGAAGAAGAAAGAAGCTGATAAAGGGACAGTGTATACACATAAAAATATACTGTAAACCCAAAAACAGTTTATCATTAAGTCTTGGATGGAATAATAAAACAATGTTTGAACATATAATTATTTGTCAGACCACACATTTAGTCTTTCCGATACTAGATGTGCTAAACGAACTACAAATACAAGTTTTTAGCTTTTATGTTTAAAGCTTTGCATATTTTCTCGGATTGGCCGTTGGATTAAATTTAAACTTCCACTTAATGAATCATAATTGCTATATGTGGTGAATATTTTCCCAACGCGCTGAAAATTGTTGTTTGCTTGCCGAAGTTGTTTGATTTTTTTTTTTTAATACTATAAGTGTGTTCGTGTGCGAATATATTCCACCTTTTAACATCTTCCACAGAATTTAACTTATCTCTACTTTTACAATTTTACGAATAACATCAAAGGGAATTCAAAACATTTGGCTTTTTGCGGAAAACACATATACACGTATTTCACCATCTGATTTTGTATTTGCGTATCTAATTCCATTTTATATAAAAATACCTTTGCTGTGTTTTAGGTATTGCGCACCGACCGTATTGTTGGCTTACATTTACATACGAACTTCACAAGAACTACGACCACCTCATGGTCCTTTATCTGAATATCGTGCGGTTGTTCGAATGCGTCAACGGTAAGTTTAAATGAAAGGCATGATAAAAGTGAAAGAAAGAGAAGAGATGTAGAGAATGGCTTCTTGTGAGAATATTTATTCAGTTAAGTTCCTAAGTAAATAATGATTAATTACTGGAGTTTTTCAATTACAAGAATTAGGAGAAGAGGTACAAATCGCTTACAATGGAACGAGCGTGTACCCACTACCTTTATAAAAAGTATATGCAGAATGCAAATTTTAGCGTAAATCCGTCTTTCGTGATTTTAGATTATTTATTCAACTCTTTTGGAAAAAAAGTTCGCACCATTAAATTGTGACTTTTAGTTTAGCATAGGTTTTATTTACAAAATTATCAAATCTATTTATAAATAATTTACAGGAACTTAATTTTATAGCGTTTTAGTTCTCGGTCTTAGTTTTCTTTTCTGTTACGATTAGCCCTGCCTTCCATAAATGTTCTGTTTATATACTCTGTTACAAGCAATTTACCATAACCTGAATTCATCGCAACGTCTTCCCGCCAGTCGCCGGGTGCTTGACGCAGTTAACATGCCACGAATGTTTGGAGTTTGGGGAGAATGGGTTTCCCATTTCGTAGAACTTAGCTTCTTAGAAAATCGACTAATATTCATGAAAACTCGAATTATTAAAAATAGCATTTTCGTAAAAACATTTCTGTCCATGATCTGTGCGTATTTTTGGACTTACCTAAGGTTTCTACTCCCTTTAACCTTTGACTCTGTTCTTTTCAAATATTGTTTTTTCTTGTCGAATTATTTGTGTCCATATCATCAAGAAAGTTATTTATTTTTAATTAGATTTCCATTGTGAGCGTGGAATTTCCAATGTTCAAATGGAAACTGGCCATTGTTGAAACCATAAGAGTAAGAAAAACAAGGGCAAACCTATTCAAAATCTTAGAGTGGATTTATTATGTACGCAGATGTACTTTTATGTGAAATAAATATAAAGAATTCTCCCAAGCTAAAAAATTGAAACCATGACATTCGAAAAGCGAAGTCCAAAGTAAGCATTAAGGATAGTAAGTATTAAGGATAAAATGCTCATAACTAATAATTTACTTTTTCTATAAGGGATTAGTGATATAAAAGACTAAAAATTGTGACTTTCTCTCTTTCTGGCCTACCTCCAGTAGCGTAGGGTACAATAAAATTATTTAAAATTCGTTTTTGCTCTATTCTACACCGGCCGGTGTAGTAGTCGATATAAGATTATTACAATATTTATTTTATATTCCTTTCCTCTGTAATTAAAAACGAAAGTTGTCCCTTACTTCAATTGCGAAGAAGAATTTCATAATAACCAGGCATACTAGCTACTAATAACGAAAGTGGTACTAATTATTATTAATAACAGGTTTGTCACTTTTTTTATTTTTTCTTAGTTAAGGCTATTTTGAATTGCCACAATTCTCCCTTCAGTGCCAATTTGGCTTGAAACATACAGCCTTTTGTTTTCCTGTAGCCCCACGGATGAGTCATTTTTTGAACGATTCGCGTTGGTTTCAGTCTATCAGCTAATACGGTTTTTTCTATGTTGCTAATTTTAATTATAAATTTTTATTAGGGCGCTCAATAATATCATAGGTTCGATTATAGGGACGTTGTAGAGGCTTCAAAGTCGAATCGTTCCTTACATAGACACACGTTGTCATGTCTTGAGAAACATAGTTGGGTGTATTTCCGCTTCGATTTACCTTATAAGTTTGTATGTTGTGCATATTCCCGCCAAACTTTTCTACCCTGCCGTTATTTGCTGAGTATGTCATTTTAGACCTGACTGTGGAGATGTAAAAGTGTACAACAAATTAATTCGAAAGGTATGTGACCAGTCTCGGCGTTTACTGAACTGTGAATTACAAGAAGTACAACTTGCAAAAATGCGCAGGATAGACTTAAATTGTCTACCTCGTTTGGGTTGGTACTCCAACTCTAGAAGTGAAGCGATGAAGGAAAGCGTTAGCAATTAATCCACCCCTAATATCTGCCAAAAGGTATGGCTTCCTATCATCTCTGGAATTTGTCAATATGTATAAGACCATGTCTATCATTTTTCGAGAAAAGTATTTACCAATGATGTCGATGTTTCCATGTTTACAACCAATCAAGATTCTCCACGCTATAGGGGTTGACATAATGAGATGTTATTCCTCTTTTCTGGTTGGGATGCTAACTTTCCCAACTTTTATCAGCACTTTTTGGGAATTGACAGTTCATATGGTTTTGCATGTATAGATACGAATAAAATAATAAGAAAAAAAGCACAAGAAGACAATGACGCGTCACCAATACTATTTGGCCTAAAGATAGTTTTAATTTGTCAAAGAAAATCGGCTCTGACTTTATTTCTTACCATGATGTATCTAATGTCAGTACTATGTTGTTCGATATAGTCCAATTGGCGCAGTTGCTTTGGTGAGGCTTTGCTCAATTCTTGACAAAAAATAAATGTAAGAGGCTTGTGGTCTGGCCGGAAATGGAAATACTTAAAGACCGTAATATATTGTCTTTAATTCGCGAGCATAAGTGCCACAACGGCGGTGTGTATGAGTAAATGTTTTTGAGACGAATCCTAAGGATATTGTTATCTAACTGCTCTCATACCAAAATCCGTAAAATCAGTCCGAGGTGATAGAAGTAATCCTTCGATTCGGCAGATTAGAAGCGAAGTCTCCGTAAATTGTTTAGAAATATGTCACAAACGGTTGTAAGTTTTTGAGGGCTGCAACTTTTTGATAAATTTGGGTAATCATTCACTTAATTGTGTGTAACCATAATGCCTTCTTCATTGCTTCGAATTCAAAGTATTTTTGACACGAAAACATTACGGATTAAATTGGTGCTGAAGCTCACAGAGACTTGGCAAAACACAACTTTATTTATTATTATATTAAAATTTATTAAAACGTATAACGTGTGGGTGAGTAATTCGCAGGAATGACATAAAGATGTCTCTTGTATGAATTATTATATATAGATAATCCAACCCTTAATCAGCGCCTGCCAAAATTCCATGTCATTCCGATCAATGCTTTACGAGATACAACGGTGTTAACTGTTTTCAAAACAATGGGAAATATGAATTTCAAGCGCAAACTAAACATTGCATTCTTGCGAATAATACCATTCAAGGTCAACTTGAAAAGTTTAAAAGACGTTATAGAAACTCTTCCTCATCGATAGGAACAATATTATAACGATGCGTAGTGGTTATATCAGAGAACGTTAAAATAAAACACTGATACTTCATAATTGAAACGCGAAGTTGTAAGAGGTAACTGCCATCCTAAAGACAACAAACGGCAGTTTATTGGCTATACTATTTCAATATTTGGCCACGAAAAAATTGTCTTTAAAATGGATGTCGCTGTTGCTCACTGTACTCCGTTATAAATGGATGGCTACAACGATAAAATGGATTGATTTTGCTGCCTTACCTTGATGAATGAAAGCCAGTTTTACAAAAAAACGTGTTTTTCTTACAATTATACGCTCTCTTGCAATTATTTACAGAAGCACTAAGTATCAGGTACACGAATTTGAATCTACGGTTTTCTAAGAGAAACTATATGTAGTACAGTGTGATTGCTGGAAAAAACTGTGACTTCTTTATTTGAAAGTACTGTGTTTAAGATATACGCAGCTGCGTAAATTATGATAATAAAGCGTACATAAGATAATTTAAAAGGATACAGTACCGCGCCGAAAAACGGCCATTCACGGGAAACTTTATCTTTTGCTTAACCCGTTGGGTAGCGTTGCTAACTTCTTACGAGTGATAGATAGCGGGTACGTTATGTTATGCAAAGTTTAGTCAGTCGTTTGCAATTACAAATAACCTGAAATGTCCGATTACACGAAATGAATGGTTAGAATATCCTAATTCCTTTTATAAAGTTTTTTTGAAATTCAAATATTTCTTTCGATTTTAAATTCTTTTCAACAGTAATTTTCTACATCCATCTATAATTGCAAGCAAGACAAAACGTAATATTTTATAGACTTTTAGAAAAAACTAAAGGATATGTGGTAAGGGAAATAAATTTCTTTGAATACATATTCCGCGGAATTTGTTTTTATCCGATTTCTTGTATTAATCGTGTTTCTGCCCAAAAGATCTTTAAGGATTGGAAAACTTATCTATAGATTTATACAAAATTTTGCTTTGATTTCTCTAGTAAATTTTGTAAACCCTTTTAAAAGCCAGTTTAGAGCAGGAATTTGTACTCATTTCTTTTCACGATAATAATTTTAAAACTATTAATCCTACTGCGTTCTCTGTTGTTAATTTGTAATCTTTTCTCGGTCTTAGCAATTCATCTGCTTCTTCTGTGGAACGTTCTTACAGTAACGCCACTACAGCTACTGTGGGCGGCGGTGCTATAGCTGGTGCTGGTGGTGGTGCTGACGCTGGCGATGGCGTTGGTGCTGGTGTTGGTATCGGCCGTCGCTATACTTATTCTACTGGTACAGCCACACGGTCTTATGATTTATATCATGCTGAATTAGATGTCTATCATGAAAAACGTAATCAACGCAATTTTGGTAGCATGGCCGCTGCTCAAGTTATGTGTGTTTGCCCCCTAATGATTTTACGTTTCGCTCGTCTCTCTATAGAAGAAACTTACGAAAATCAAAAACATTTCGATTTTATCTATTTAATGTTTGTATGGATTGCATTCTTGCCAACCATTATATTCCCGTTTATTTACGCAACCCAACTCTTACCCAGGTAATTTCAAATACATATTTTAAATATACTCTATAGGAATCCGCTACTAATCGTTACTTAAGTTTGTTAGGAGAGGTATTGTAAGTTTCTTAAAAAAATATGTCATGACTAAAGATTTCGAACATGTTTCGAAAATTTTCAAATAATACTTAATGTTTGTACCTTTGAACATTTAACTATTTTATTTTAAACTTTTTTCGAAGCTTTGAACGGCAAATTATCGTAAATACTAAATAAACTAAAGCATGCTGATTCCTTAGTTTATTATCCCAAAAGTACGTGAGTATTTATTTGAATTTACAGAAATTTATCATAATGTACTTTCACATTTGTAGTAGAAATATAAACGATCAGGATCTTTTCATGCGTACAGGCAAATGACTTTTAGTTTTAATGCAATGCATCTACGGTTTAGTTAGTTAGCATGCTTTGTTATTTGAAATGATAAAACATTTATGTTGTCCCCTGCTTCAAATTCTGTAAAACTCCTACACAATTCACAGATTAGAGCATTTCAAAATACAAGAGCTTCGTTAAAATTTCATAATCATTAAACCATAAAATATCTCTCCAAACTAATATATACGATTGAAATGAAGAAAAATTGCACTTAATGCATTGAATGTTAATTTTAAAAGTGGTCAATGGTCAATGTCACGTCAATTTTTGTGTCGGTCCTTCTCGATCTCATAAAACTAAAGTTGTCTCTTTCTTTTTACTTCTCTTGTTATTTTCCATATTGGTCAGAACGGAACAACAACATATTTGCGGTTACTTTCGTTTGTTAACAAAACACTTCCTTAAAAAAAGTAATAAAACTTTGGTAGATGTTAATACAGCTAACTCCCGTGAAAATTCCTTTGAGAAGGATGAAAGCACTAATTTATCACAACGAACATGCATCGTACTTAATGGTGATGGTTATATGGGCGCAACGGTTGGTGATGCTAGTGATGGAAGGGTATTGAAAAACAAATTAAGTGAATCAAAACTCATAAAATGTCAACGACGTAGCGATGTCAAAAATGTAAATAACGGAAGCAAAGAAAGTCTTTCAAGACAAAGCTACGAAGACGTGAAGAATGTTACTGCGCATATCAAAAGTAATTTTGCGAACAAAACACAGCTTTCCCAACATTCAAATGAAGTCAAAATTAATATAATTTCCGATGTGGTCAGCAAGTCATCGGCTATGCAACGTCGTAACAAAACTAACACTAGTCGTTGTTCAGATGGTGTAGCAGTTAAGCAACGTAAACTGGAAACTTTGGACAACGGTTCTAATATGACCTCATCAACTTATTGCAACGGTAATGGCAGCTTGGTTAATAATTTTGATTCCAACCACTTTGGCGATAGTGAAAATTCATCTATGGTTAACGGCATGGTTGTGCAGATTGGAAGTGAAGTTGGTAGTATTGGTTTGCCTCCCTATCATGAAAGCAAAATTCCTTGTTACGCAGACGTGCTTAAAACGCCTAATTTATCTGCAAGTGATATTAGCTATAATCTATCGCATATGAATTCATCCAGCACTATTGAAAATGACCTAGACACTATTAATCTTCTAGAACGCGAACGCAATAGAATGGGCGTGCAGGAACTCTTGGAAAGGGAAGGCAATGCTATACGTGAACGAAGACGTTTACCGGATATAGACAAATTGTGCCAACGTTCACCGAAATTTAGATCACTAGAGGCATCAACTATTACTTTATCGGCCAATATGCCCGTCTTTAATGACCCTTTACAAACGAGTAGTGAGACCCTTGGTACCAGTTCCACAATAAGTGGAGAAACATCTTCAGTGACCTCGCACGTAATTCCATTAGATAGTGATAAGTTCGACCTCTACTCCCGCTCGGCTATTATCAATGAGCACACTTTAGATGAAGGGATATCTTGTGATTTTCAGGACAATTATAATCCAGGTGATGCTAAACATGCGCTACCTGATTCAGCTCTTCCTGTGAGTTCACCCGTACAATATCAGTATACGAGACGCTTAAGCAGAAAAACGTCGCACCATCACCAACATCTTAGTGCTAATATATCGTCACATCGTTTATCTAAACGTGATAGCTTTCATTCAATTCATAACAATGATTTAATCGCGGGAGCTTTTGGTGAAATAGATCCCACTCAACCCTTAAATAAGATGTCTATAATTGACAATCGAATGTTAATGCGCCGCAACAGTGGAACTGGGGGCGTTGGTGGGGGAAGTGGAGGTAGTAGTAGAACTTCAGGATTTTCGTCGCCAAATCGCAGTTCCATGAAATCACGTGATTACAGTCATGGCTCAACCCATTCACCGCAACCGGAATTAGACTTTAGAGAGAATATATTCGCAGAATTGTAAAAACATTGAAAATTTACAATCAGTTTGAAATTTTGCTAATGAAAAGTTAACAATTTGGCCACTTGTCCACACAAGCATTTAACAATTCGGTGAAATACAAATATACAATAAATGTGAGCATTTTTTATATAAATACAACTTAATTTTATTTTATAGACGTGATTCCGACTCATTTTCTGATAGTTATGTAGAATTGACTCCCAGAAATCCAACTTCGAATGCAATGGTTCTATCGACTACCTATGGTTCAACATCATCAATTCAAATATTCCAGGCTTATAACAAAACAAGACTCAGAGGTCGAAAGAATTTCACTGTTATCTAAAAAGAACATTTTACGAACTGTTGATTAGTTGTTAAAAAAAGTTCTTGCCATTGTTAATTAACGTAAATAGAAAAACTGATTGAGTTGTATCTAACTAGCCTGGTATTTATTCCTTTACCAATTACCGTTTGATGGTTCACACTTTATAAAGAACATATTGACCACATATCGAGAAGATTCTAAAGTGTATTAACAGCATTCCGATCAAGACTGGGCTTCCGAAATTGTATTGGTATTTCAGTGATAGTCCATTTAATTCTAATGTTAATGTACAAAAGCCAAGTAAAAAGTGCATTTTTTAATGAAGAACATGTGTAAAGTTTTATATTAAAAACGCCTTTCACCAAGCTCTACTTTCAATAATTTGATGCTTTTTGGTGTGTGCCATGTAGTCAGAAAAAATAGCCGAGCAACTTGGCACGGTATTGCGACCGTCTTTCACATTCATAGTGTACCACGTACACTAATGTCAGGAAACTTTAATACAAGGCTTTCACCACTTGATATTGAAAAAAAAGGGGAGCAAGTGTCACAAGATAATAAAGGCCATGCGTGCATATGAAATACTCTTGTATGTTGTAAGCTGCAGGACGTATCCGAACTTTTGCGATTTTGGGAAAAGCAACAAATTTTTTTAACTGGATATCTGATACGATTCTTGAGGTAGACAGAAACAGAAATCTAGTTGTATTGAGATTGAAAGACCCACATTGGGCTAAAATGTAAACATCTTTAGGACGGATTTCTAAAGTATTTAAACAAAGTTGCTACACTCCGATGTTGTATGTACCAATAAATTTTTAATTATTAGTAAGAAAATAAAAAATAGCGAAGAATGTATAGTAATAGGGATACGTTTAAATAAAGAAATTCGCTTTAACATAAGGTACGTTAGAGCAGATGTCACGATTTTTATTTTTTTAACTATTAAAGATAACTTTTATAGATACGACACGCATAAAATACGTAAGTGATAATACCAACAAAGCACATGTGCTTTTATGGCATAACAAAATTTTATGACCACTATTATGCGTTGTCGATGTTTTACTTTGTAATAAATGTACTTTAGTGTTGATTCTTAACAATAAAAACAAAGTATTTTGCTTTAAAATTTTTTATAAGGAATAAGAGAAAACAACTTTCGAATTCTTTTAAAAATATTTGGCTAAGTTTCTCGTTCTAATTAAAGCAAATGTTTTAAAATGATTGTTAATTAATATCAAAAAAAAAAAAAACGTTCAAACAAAAGGAAATAACCTAGACTAAACCAAATCCAACATTATACCTACACAAGTACGCACCTAACTCATACACACACCTGCATATTATATACTTTATTTAGCAAACAGAGTTTGTAAACATTTCAAATTTCATAGAAAATGTTGAAATATATATACTTCATAAGGTCTCTGAAGCTTCCTTTTGGGTGATACATATATTTTGCAAACAAAAAATGGGTATACCCCCATCTTACAGTGATGGGCGTAAAAATAATAATAATAGTAATGCAAATAATAATAGCATTACAAATAATAATAATAAAAATAATAATAATCTACGCTTTCGTTTCTTGGATGTGTTAATATTCTAATCAGGCTAATATTTATACAAAGTCTACAATTATTTTTTGCCTAACTTGCTGCACCTATTTTAAACGAGTATCTCGAAAAATGTTAAAATTTAATTTGCCTCCAAGAAGAGTATTTGTGCCAAGCATCACGTTTCTGCGTCATTTTCAAAGACAGCGAAAATTCAGAAAACAGAAAAAATACAACCGATCTTTCGGTTTAATATTTTGATCTTTCTTTTGTATTGATATTAGTATTATATTAATATTTTCAATTAATTAGTAATAATAATAAAGCAAATTTTTGAACTTGAAATTATCGTTGTATTACAAATGATCGTATACCTTATCTAACTACTTATACATAGAGAAAATTTTTTATGCATATATATATATATATATACATACTAATATATATACTTATTAATATATATATATATATATATATATATATATATACCACAACAAGAAAAAATAAATCAAATAATTCTCAAATAAGTTAATATAAATGGAAAACCAATCTTGTTTTTTTACCGTGAAATAAGTGTTTACATAAGGTAAGTTTTGTATTCGTATCATACACATCAATAGACTGTTCTCTGTCGCGCGAAATTGAAAATCTCTCATTTCGTATACGCTATTAACGAAAAAATGTTCTTTATAAACCTTTATCTTCTAGCCGTGCTTATGGACAGATCCGATTCACTTTTTCACTTCCTCGAAAACAGTCGGGATTCTGCAAATTTTTGTAATGTGTGCGATTCTAGGAGTTAACATACGCAAAAACCTGAATAGATGTTTTGATCTTCAATATGAATTTTTTGCTTACCGCATAAAAGCATGAAAAAATATTCATTTCTATAAATTGGCTCTTCTTTCAGTAAACGAGGTATTCAAAACTGTCAGCGTACAAAAGTGAGTAAATATTTAAAAATTTTTTAGCTTGTTTATTCAATATAAACTTACCAAGAAGTAGCGAAAATTGTGAAAGTACATTGTTTTTACTCGTTCGGGTTTTCTTTTTCTAAATTGATTTACTTTGACGCAACTACTAGGGATAACATTTCTATCGTTCCTTTAGGCCTTTAATCATGGCTCTTACGTCTTTTCTGCCTTTCCAAACGTGGCAAATTGTGTTCAATGTAAAAGAAAAAATCAAAGGTAGGCTATAGATCGTAACAAATAACAAATAACGGAATACGGTGAAACAAGAAAAAGGAAGTCTTCAATACCAAAACCATGCTCTGCATGTTCAAAACATCAACCAAAGCCACTAATAAGCTTGTAACGGGCTAGAACTCAAAGGTTTCCAGCAGGTTCGTTTCCAAGAAATTTGTAAGCAAAATAAAAATACTTGGACCCTCATGTTTCAACAACGTATTTTTAATAATTCTCGGAAATATTGGTGCATAATTGACGAAATTACGATTGTGAGGTTTGTTGGTAACGATGAGAAATGTGTACAGCGAATTGGTAAGCCTATCAGTTATTCAAGAGCAACTAAACTAGCTAAGTCAGCCATCACCTATCCGTAAAGGCAAATAATTAAAGTAAAATGAAATAGCCAAAATAAAATAAAATTTGTCTTATTAATTACAAACTTACCTTTTTAGTTGCTGAAACACAACCGTAATACAGTCAGTGTGTATGTTCTACATTGCGTTTTTATAGCTACTTTCACCATTGCTGCACTGTTACAATTTTGCTAATAGTTATTTTCGTACCTGTTACTAGCTGGTAGGAAAATTATTCTACTATGGGTTACCGAGAGCGCATGGGTTTGAATAGATGAGACTATGCTAATTGATGAACTTACGTATATGAATACTTTAATTGAGTTTACGCAAAACGCATGTGGTTAGGTGAGAAGCCGTGTGTTATACTGTTATAGAATTCGCCTTTTTCTAAGATAGAGCCCGTATCACTGGATTGCGGATATTTTGTTCAAGCGAAATACACTCCATATTCTTTTTATTTGCAATTATATTTCTTTAAATGTATGATTATTTAAAATTTATTTTTTTTACAAAACTTTCGACTAATCTTTCTCAAGTAATCTTTTTCTACTACTTTGTCTTTCACAAATATTCAATTTATATACATTTTTACCATCATACTACTAACACCTAATTTTATGACTTCACTTTCAATTCGTTAACCCGCTTTTCTGATAACCGTTTTCATCGGCCTGCACCTGCACGACGCCTCGCGAATGTGCATTTAATTTCTTTTCTTTTTAAGGAATTTATTATTTGGGAAAAGGGAATCATCTAGATTTGGGATTTCCGTAACAGTACATTCTACAAAATACCTTGAAAGGTTATAATGCAGACAATTAGTGCGATAGTGTGGCAAGTAAATTTTTTTCATAGTGCCTCAAAAATCTACCAGGCACGTTAAATGAGATTTTCTGGAGTAAGGCAAGGGAAAATACTGTACCTACAATCAGTTTAACCATAAACACAAAACCCAGCATCACGCGTGTTTTTTCCAGTGAGAAAAGGTCAATGAGCATCAACCTATACTCATAGGACCGAAGCTTCAAATATGAACACTAGCCTAACCCTCGTAGCAAAAAAATTAAGAAATGCCGTTCTGCCGACTCAATTACGTCAATGTGGTATCGGCACCAACTACAGACTACAGATGCAGATCCCAAAATTGGTCGAAAAAGAAACGCATATAACCGTTTGGTGACATAAGTGTCATAAAATTCCCTTGACCAACTCTTTATACAACGTAGACTCACTTTGCCTTTGTTGACACATGATTCAATACGTAAATTGAATCTCAAGTTAAGATCAAGATCACCCCCCAAGGCTTAATATCTGGTTACTTTCATCAATTTGCGGCTACCAATAAGGTAATTAGACGGCATAATAGTGGACCAAGGGAAGGAGGATTTTCTTAAGTTTAGAACCCTGCTATTAACCTGCCACCATTCAACCAATTTATTTAAGTTCGAATGAAGACTAACCGTACCACTAATAGAATTAAAGGAACGAACGATGTTTTCCTCATCCGTAAATATCAAGCACTCCGATTACTTATGTGCATAAGTAACTTATGCAGAAGTAAAGAAAACTGGTTTTAGCAGTATGAATAAGTTTAGGTAAATATATTTTTATGAGAGATGTATATATTAGGTGCTTGCGTTAATTTTGTCAGCGAATTCTACAGGTAACAATGATAAAGTAATGGGAAATACCAGTGTTCATAACGGTTAAGTTCGATGCTTTTGACCTTTCTCTATATAAAATAATAAGTTTCCATTTAATGTTAGTGATTAATTCAGCGTACGCCGACGATAATCATGGATCGCTCAAAATTGCATTTTCGACCTTCATTATCTTTTCCGTTTAATTTGAAGTAATCTGCTGCCGTAGCTCACCAAACACGTTCAGAAGTTTATAGTGGTGTTGCGTTACCATATCCCAATTGTCGGTTTTGATTTGAACTGTCTAAAAGTGATGGCTTTAACGGTAATGAGAAAGAGCGGCCTGGAGAACCAAAGAAGTTCGAATACAATCAATTGCAAGACTTATTCAATGAAAACCCAGCTCAAACTGTCGAAATGACTTTTGAATAGCTTAGCACTTGATGAATAAACTGTTTCTAGACGTTTACATGCGATAGCAAAGATTCAAAAGGAGGGAAAACGGCTACGATACGGATCGACCGAAAACGCCATTTCGAACCGTTTCAACATCGCGGTTTGACAGGCCAAAAAACAAATGTTTTCTGCGGCGTATTGTAACTGGCGACGAAAAGTGGATCTACAACTTAGTTTTGTCCAGGAGAACGATCGATATCGAGGCGGAATATTTACGGCCCTAATGTTTTGCTGGGCATATGGTGGCACCAGCAAGGGGTAGTGTATAACGAGCTGGTAAGACCGAATGAAACTATTTCTGCAAATGAATACCGATGTAAATTGAACATATTGAACGACGTATTGTTGCAAAAAAAAAACAGCTAAAGTGGCTACCATACGAATTTACTAAAAATGACATTTTGACCACTTGTTCCAATTGTTGTCAAGGATACACGGTTGCAACTCCAACGGAAAGTTCTGCCACATTGGTATATTACGTTTCCCACATACTCGTCACTACAAATTACTTCCTCCAAAAACTTATATCATAATTTTTGTAAAGTTTTGCAAACTCGAGGCTTTTTATCATATTAATTTGGCTTATAAATGTTATTTTTTTTAGAAGACGACTATGAAAATCCTCAAATTCCGAACGGTTTTGGAATGAATACTAATTGACTTCTATTTTTCTAGGCCTTTTGCAATATCAACTGCACTCGTTTTGGGTTCGTTTGTTAGAATTCTGATATTTCGTTTTTCACACTCTATAAGCGCGTATGGTTGGCCTGGTCGATGCTTATATTCTGTGGTATTTGGGTTATTGTGATTTTTTATAGTAGTTTGAATAACAACACGACTAATTCCAATGGTTTTTGCTATTTCTCTCTACTCTTAACGTCATAATCACTTGCCTTATCTTTCAGAAATTTTTTTGCAGTTTTATATATTTTGTGACATTTTAAGGAAGGGAAATAGAAAAACTTACTCTA